AGTTTCTTTTGTATTAATTAGTAACATCTAGTTTCTGTTGTAATGGATATCAGTGAAAGAGAAAAAATCGTAGTTCATGGTATGCACCCGATATTTTCTCGCTCCGGAGTGCAAGCTTCACATCTCTGATCATGTGACTGAGGAAACTAGAACTCAAGTAAAATGACTTTGTCAACTAGTTGTTCACTGTATTCCAATAGTGTAGAAGAACTGCTAATGGTATTATGATAATTCCTCGGTGAACAAGAATTGACCATTAGTTCTCATAATTAGAAGTCAAAGTTATGCTTTTCCTGCAATAGATTTCATATTCACATATACATGTTCGCAAATTATTTGATTAAAATTAATGTGAAAACAAAAAATATTGTAGACATGTGTTTGATTTCATCAATTATGAAAGTGTAGGGAAACGGAAAAGGAATTTCTATTCCTCAGCTCATAGACTTTCGTTGAGAAAATAATTCGTATGAATAAATTATTTAAATATATTTGTAGAAATATTATTATTTTAATAATTATATATTTTCAGAATACCATAACAAATCTATTGATGAAAATAGAGTACGAGCAGAAATACTTGCTTGTCTAATTTCAATGCCAATTCAACTGATTTATCTTCGAATCGAACAATTTGAATGGCTTTTGCACATAGTTCAATATGTAAGTAGTTAATCAACTCTTTACCTGAATATCTACGTTTGTGAACATTGATATAATAATAATTGAACAAAATTAGAAAGTTTGATCTAAAATGAACTCTATATTGGTCGTGAGAAAATTCATGAAAATGTAGTGCTAATGGTTTTGAACACGAAGAAGAAGGGAAATGATATGAAAACAGTTATTTTTGCTGAAAAGGATGTCTTTTGAACGTTTGATAGAGTTTGTGACAAGCAAGAAAATAATTAAAGGATATCTTTAAAAAATGGATTTGATTTCCTTGAAGCTTTTGAGACTCGTTAGTACTATATTCAAGGAACAAAAAAATACATGACTGATGATAACGTAAATGGGAATTATATGATTTATGATAATGTTCACATATGATTCTACACACATACGAAGTGCGTAAATCTTCATTGAAAATATAACAAGTATCTGAATGGTACGATAAATATGACTTACTAGATTTGTCATCAATTCTTTATATTTTCTTTTGTTATCTGTAGACGGCAGTTGTCAACCTCGAAAATTTTAAAGAAACACACAAAGAAAGTTTTATTTCTTTGGCCTAAGATTATATTATATCATTAGTATACTAATGAATAGAAATCCTCATGTCGGTTGTAACCTTGCTTCTAGATCTTCGAGGACTGTCATTAGATGATTAAGAGTTTAGAAAATATGTATTTATTTTTTGTCTAATGTTGAACAATTTATTGTGTTCCAATTATGAGTAGTGTATGATAAGTTAAGGAAGCTAAAAACTCTTAATCTATTCGTCAGTCAAAGAGGAATGTCTATTCATGAGGTTCCCTAGATTAAATTCAGAAAGGATCAGCTTAAGATAAAGATTTCATCAATATCTCTTATATCAATTTATTTTTATTCGTTTTTTTTCTAAGGAAATCTCTAAAGTAACGAAGCGATAATATCTGATATCTCGCATTTCGAAGAGAAACCTTCTTTTTTTACTGGTGTTCTACTTTTTAGTTTTGTCTTGTTGCTGATATTCGTGGACTTTTTTTTGTACTAGCGAAAAAATCAGTATTTTTCAGGAGCACCATTTACATAGGAAAATACTAAAAAATAGAGAGTATTTACAGATTTTTGTTGTTAAAACTGAGTTTTCATGTAAAATGATTATGACATTTGGAATCAGTATTAAAAATTATACTAGAAACTCTTTTTTTCATTGTAAGATCTTTTCTATGAAAATTTGACCCCTACTCCCCCTCAGCCTTTTATCCTTCACATTTTTTCCCCTGATTCCCTACGGGCTAAAGTTTCATCGGAAAGATTTTATAATGAAAAATAGAGTTTCTAGTGTAATTTTTCATACTGATTCCAAATGTTCTAATCATTTTACATGAAAACTCAGTTTTAACAACAAAAATCTGCAAATACTCCCTGTTGGGTGTGGGTGTAGACGAGAAAAGATCAACACCTACATCCTGTTACAGTAAAAATATATTATATACTATGTATAGATAAGTCCGCTAGTTGATATAAATCCTAAAAAAAAAATCCTTGTAACCCCTCTTTCACATATCAATTATTATTGAATTATTTTGTTTGTATTATTCGAATTCTATGATTTCTGTTTTAATAAATACACTGTTATAACTTTGAATTATTTCTTTGCTTTCATGTTTAGGCATTTGATAAACTTAGAAAAAATGCATTGAGCTCAGTTCGATATGCTGAATTTTATCTTCCCAGCTGTAATACTGGTTCAAATGATTCAATTCGTTTTGGTAAAAATCTTGTATCTTTTCTTGGTACTTATACTCCATATTTGCAAACATTGTGTCTTTGGCGACCAGACGATTTTCCTTGGACATCGCGTAAGTAAATGTTTGAATAAGAAAGCAAAAAAAAATTCATTACAATGAATAGCGATAAAATTAAAAGATTGAGTACAGAAAACAATTAGAATAAAAAAATTTTTCATTTAACGTTTTTATTTATTCTTTTCATTGAATAAATCAAATGGAAATAGATTATGTGTTACACAGTAGAGTATCATTATATAAAATTAATGATAAATGTAGAATTATACGAATTTCATGCATTTTTCTGCGTAGCTCAGTACACTTACACTAATGAAATTCAAAACATTTGTTTTTGAGTATTATGGTGATAGTGGCACAACCTTTTTTTATAGTTCAATGTGATGCAGTAGAATTCATTTTGTTAGGTTGTCATGTTTATCTTTTTCTTATGGTTAAAAATGATTAAAAGTGTAACATGAAAACAAATGTTTTATTTGAAACGCATACTAAAATCAGTGATCGTATATATATTTATTAAATTTTAATCTAAATTATCTCTTTTTAATGTAGGAATAGTTAATTATTTTATAACAAAATGATTAAAATAAGAAAATAGTCAAATATTATTATTTTTGAAAAATGAATCATAATAAAGAAAGTCTTCCAAGATACACGATAATAATTTGATATTTGAATCAGAGATCTAAGATTTTAAAACAAACCTTCTAGAGCGATTTCACTATAGCAACCTACTACTTTTCAAAAGTGGGGAGGTGGGGAGTGGATCCCCTGTCCTCCCTATGGGCACATCCCTGATTTGAATAAGAGAAAAATATTTTTACTTGAAATATGATTTCATTATATAAATTTCATATAACTTTTTCTTTTTCTTTATTTAAGTTCGACCTGATTTTCGAGTAGGATATCGTTATCAAATTTTGACTGATAAATGGAAAAAATCTTTAACAACATCTCAGTCAATTGGTATGAAAATCAGTTTGACTTAAAATAATTGAATAATAGAATTACTTTTGTTTAGTTGAACATGTTTCCATATTTGAATATGATCTTTCTCAATTAATTCAACAATTAAAACAATTTTCGTTTCTCGATATTTATGGTCAAACTGATCGTCAAAAAATCGAACTTTATCGTTGTATGGTTCACAAACGTTTTCCTAATAGTCGACTTAATATTCAAACAACAAGATTTTGTCTTTGGTTTTGATCTTTTACATATTATATTCAATCAATATAAACTGTACTCCTTGAATAATCTTCATTGCTTTCTCTCATTATTCAATAACTAATAAAGTTTTTTTTTCTCATTCAACTTTGGTTGAATATTTATTTCAACACTTTTATGAAATATTTAAAGCAATATTGAAGTTAGGTATTGGCTCGATTCAAGTTTTTCGAATTATAAATGGAACCGAAACCGATCCGAAACGGCTTAGGAGCATTCCTTCTCTTTGTGAAGTTTTCGAAGAATAGCTTCGTGGTGCACACTTCGATGAAACACAGAGGTCGCAATAGCGAAAAATATGTCTTTTACAGAAAATAGAAACTTTTTGATTTAGGAAGTGTATTTGTCTTCTTTTTAACTGTTTGTAACTTGAACAGAACAGGTACCAAAAACGAAGAACGATAATTTTTGAAATGAAAAATGTTTTTCACCCAAAACAGTATAATTATGTGAAAAAAATTTCAGATTGATCGGACTTACTGAACTAAAGACATGGAAACGTTTGTTCGGTTTGTCTCATGAAAAAGTTGTTTTGAAAAAACACACGAACCAAAATAGTTTCCACTGTTTACCTTATTAAAATCTAAAATTTCGTTCTTCTCATTTTTTAAAGTTTAAAGATAATTTCTGAGTCCCAAAATGTATAAAATGAATAGATACTGCTCAAGACTATACAACGGCTACAAAACAATGGTGGATGTGGTGTTTGGGATGGATGTAAGTGTGGGTTGATGTAGATGTCGTTGTGGGTATAGGTCTGGTTGTGTCTTCTCTTCAACCACACTCATACATGCATAACTCACAACCACACGTACCCACACTCACACCCTTTGCAACACAAGTTTATCTTTGCTGTTTTTTTTTTTACATTTTCATGTAGGTTTTTGAATATCTATCTTTTTCTATATTAATTTGAGCACAGATATTTCTGAAAATATAGAAAAGTAAACACGACTATGATAAACAACAAATAACTTTTCTATTTAAAAATAAAGCAGCATAGAAGAAGAAAACACTATACATTAGTCATAGCTCATTGTATCAATTAAAACTATATAAAGCTGTATTCTACTATTCTGAAAAATAACGTCACAATGTAAAGCAATTATCTAAGTAGTTAATATAGAAATGTAGTTTTAGAAGAATCCAGAGTAAGATAAACTCTTTTACTCAAAAAAATTAGGCAAAAAGTCAATTATGTCAACAGATTTTCATAGATATTCTCAAGCATCTGTTATTATCAAGAGTATTCATGTAAAAAATTGATAATGCTTCATTAATAAAGTATCATTAGAGGAAATGAATTTTGTGTTAATATTTATAAATTGTCAGACTAATGCGTTATAGATTGAATAAGGTGTTGTCAAATAAAAATTAACTATCTTTATTCTGATTTTTCAGACTTTTTTGAATTAAGAAATAAATTCAATAAGAAGAATAATAGTGATCATGACTTGATTTGAATCGGAAGCAATAACTTTTAGATTTTACCCTTGTAATGTGTTTCGTATAGATGAATTATAATTTTTTTTTCAAACTAATAATTCAGCTTCATTCAAATTAGAAGTCTAATTTTATTTATGTGCGGTTCTAGAGTATGATCGAAATTCTGATTTCATTAAAATATAGAGCAGATGTAAATTCTTAATCTTTTACACAATACCTTTGATGACTTCATTTACTTCAATGATTTACAATCGTTTTCGTTCTTTACGAGTTAGATAAAACAGTGCTAGGTCAGTTGCCTATGATGTACCGTACATTTAATGGATAGAGATAAGATTCATTGCCTTCAGAAAAAAAGAATGCTATTTTTAACTACGAGCATTCGATCTCCAACGACAAACTTTTAAATTCAGTCGTGTTATAAAGAGTACGATTCTTCCTAATTCGAGACTTTTCAATTCATTATTCAAAACAACCATGAAAAAACTAACTATTTCTCACTACTTCTATGTTTAACTTCATCAGGATCGAAAATTCCTATTGACGTTTAGTGTGCGTTTCGAACTGTATTCTTGAATGTTATAGAAAATACGAACGGTTGATAAGCAAAGTCCAAAAAATCATCTAATTTTTAGCAATTATAAACATATTTCGATCAGCTCGAAATTCCGAAAAAATAGACTTAGTGGTCATAAAATGGTCAAAATGATTTAATAATGAATCGATATGTATTTTAATGGTCATTTTAGCATTATTCACCTTTAAAAGTACACTTTAATGGTTAAAATAGTCTAGCTACGGAAAATAATGCATTTTAATGACCATTTTTCCAATATTCTTTTCACTGGGAGTTACGTGCATGAGGCTGAAAAATAGTTCGATAGCATTAAAATTTGGGGTGTGGGTGTGGTACTTCTCTACACCCACACCCATACCCAGACACACCCACACATCCACCCACACACCCACCCACACCCACGCCCACACCCACACCCAAACCCAAACCCATCCACACCCACATTCACACACACCCATACCCATACCCACACCCACACCCACACCCACACTCACACCCACACCCACACCCACACCCACCCACATTCACACACCCATACCCACACCCGCACCAACATATCTACACTATCCTGAAAATGGCCTTATCCGCCCTCATCCTTTTACTTGTTGGGAGTCTGTTTCGTTTTACATATGGCTTATTTTCAATATTAAAGTTTAATTATATATTTCTCCTATTTATATCAAATTAGTTGTGGTTTCGAACATACCTGATGATGACTGTTTGAGCAATAGCCGAAACGCGTTGTATAATGCTTGGAGTCATTCTTCGATAAACACACATCGACACACACCCTCTTAGCTAACACGCACGACGTTTATGAAACAGATAGAGTTGAAACCTTCAAGAATAATAGTCGTTTTTATGGGGCTCGGGATTTTCCCCGAGTCTCGGTCTTGCGAGACCAGGAATGGAGACTGGAAAAGAGGGAGTGGTATCGATACCAGTGATTGGGATGGCGACCAGGAACTGAGACCTGATCTGCAAATCTCTAGTATTTGAGAAATGTGAATCCACTCTGAGAAGTCCTCATGAAATAAGGTGTCGAATTCCGATAACTTTTGACTTGAACTAGGGACGAATTCGGTTGTTTTTGCAAGAAATGATTTTATAAGATAGTAAATCTGTTTTGAAATGGATCACACTACAGTGTCTGTTTCATCAGTGACGAAGTATTCAGTTGGCTACTTGTGATTTTCTTCTGATTTCTGAGAATATCGTTGCTGCCAGGGCAGCGAGATGCGAAAGGATAAATACGCGTACCATATTTAAGTCAATTACCAGCCAATTGAGAAGGCGAACGCAATAACTGTCTCTTTCATTTTCTATAAAATTTGATATAGCTTGAAGATAATTAATGGACCTGCCTAGGGATTTCTCTTCATGGTAAATGTCGCGATCGTTTGGTTCAGTTGGTTTGTTCTCCACTAGGTTTCTGGACTGGTCGAGAATAGTTCTTTTGATTAATTGTTGAGTATCTATTGATATTCTTTGATTAATGTAAGCAATAATTAATAAAAATCCTGTAACAATCAACGTGAGAATTGTTACGTCCACAATGAACATTACAGTTAGTGCGTTTAATTCTTGACTGATAAAGAACCATCGGAATAACCCGATAATAATCAATACCAGGTCGATGATGACTACATAGGAAATGGTTACCATGTGACACTTGTAATGGTCAGTGACAGCTACGGCTTTTCTAATTTCAGCTAGGAAATAGTCGAGATTTTCAGGCTTTCTTATATCATAGTAGTTGTCGGATTCCATTTCAATGAAAAGGTCATTGTTTGTGACACTTGCCATAATCTTATTTACTTTCAACGCCAGATTAATATAAGTAGCCCATGCCTGTTTTATCATGATTACAAAGGAGAAACTATAGATCAATCCTAATGAATAGTATGACTTCTGGACAAATTTGACGAACCACGGACTTGCTGTGTAGTCAAGTTGTGCTGTATTATGCTCCATGTGGGGAGCAAAGCTGCGAATCATCTCAGGAATGAATTGGCGAATACAGACTGCTGCGATAAGAGCAAAAATACCAAAGACTTTCATTAAACACTTCATATTTCCACTGCAGCAAGATTGTTTGATAGTGTTGGGTTCTCTGTTGTCTTTTGTTGTAGTCTTGTGTGGTTCGGTTGAACTTGCGTTATATTCATAGTATTGATGGCAAGCAAGTTCATACAAACGTTTTACTCTTTTAATGTCATACTTTTGGTTGGAATTTACTTCTCGAAATATATAATACGAAATAAATATGATCAAGTGCATATGCATGATAAAAGGCCAATAGATTTCCAGAGTTAGAGTATTCCATTCATGCATTTCGGTTGAGTTTTGATGAAATAGTCCCAGAGAAATATAGACGATATACGATGGAAGCGATAAAATGGCACAAAGTATAGAGACCATTATAACCAAAATTTTTTTAGGCATTTGACTGTCGGTTTTCCAAAAGACTATGCATATGATGCTGAATACAGCAAATGGCAAAAAAATAACTGCGAAAAATAACCCAATGAAAATGCGGCGTATATCTTTCCATGGTATAAAATTCCACTCCTCAGGTGTTGGTATTTGAATATGAGCCAATATGTCCTTCAGATTCATTAAATAGTGACTGTCAGCGCTTTTAGAGATCGCTTCCAGGTTTTCATTTGTCGTCTTGTCATTAAGTGGATATTTGTGAACGATGTGTTCAGTAAATTCGTCGAATAGTATGCCCGCAGTTTCTTGAACCTTACACTGATTGTAAGATAAACTACTGATTTTTTTTTTCAAGTTATCATCGTTGTCGGTATCATTTTTTCGCTCACGAGCATGAAATTCTATTGTACGTTTCTTAGACTCCTCTGCGAGTTCTACTAAGGTCAATATTCCCAGCACAAGTTCTTTTTTGTCCAGTAAACGTGACTTATTCTTATCACACCAAGCCCAATATCGTTCCCAT